TTCAGGGAATTGTAGAGAGTGAGAAGGTCTCCCCTCAGCCTCCTTTTCTCCAGGCTGAGTTAGGTTTTAAGCCAATGAAGCTCCCATGCTTCCCCCAGCCCATTCTATTCTCTAATTTCACTTTGAAGAAAATCAGAGTAATCTGAAAACCCACACCAACAGTTTTCTGTAGGGTGATATTGTTATTTGGGTGATCTCTGGATTGTGGATTGCAAAGATATTAACTGAATGCAGTGAGAGTTTGAAGACTAATGTTGCCTTGGTCGCTGTTGATCCAATCATCTTTGATGCGTGCGTCTTGCTCTATTTTCCCTTCAAGTTTTTCTCCTGAAGAAATACCCATGAAAAATGTAAGACATATCTCTGTGTTATAAATTAAGCAACAGCATTAATACTTAAAGTACTTAATAACCACCTATCAAGATATGGCAATAAAGTAAATTAATACTCCGAAGTCCTGATTTGGATCTCGCTTACATTGGTGTTACAGGACTAAAACTATTGGTTTCAGTTGGGTCGTTTACAGACAAATAACTGAGGTTGGCCTGACCTTGCATTGCTTTAATAAATACATTAGAGCAACAACAGATCTGGAGTCAGAAGGAGTTTGCCACTGGTTGCAACCGTAGCATAGTGTAAATAATACATGGATATTAGAAAAGCAATTACGTTCCCAATATCAGAGCCCCAGATCACGAGCACAGGCTGCTCTGCAACACAAGCTGGCTCTGCTGGGATGGATGAATGCCCTTTCTAAATTACAGCCTTACAGATCAGCTAGGTATTCCCTTTGTTCCTGTAGATATGCAAAACAGGAGACTGCTCCAAGTTTAAGGTCAGCCCGATTTTATTATTATTATTTTTTTTTAAACAGAGCTCTTTAGGACATAAGTTCATCTTTCAGAGGAAACAAAACCCAACCTTGGCCTTGGACAGGCTCAGGGTGACATGTCTGTTTAGCTCTAGTCCCTCTATGGTGATGCAGAGGAGGAAGAGGAAGGGCAGGGTGAGGGATGCTCAGAAAAACTGTGATCATTCTGATGCCATTTTGGAGGAACGAAACCAATACATGGTAGAAGCTGGTAAATCTGGGCTGTGTTTCTGCAAAAGGCAAGGAGCTCACCTGTAGGGTCTGTGCTGGAGATGCCTAAAATTAGAAGAGATTAATTTCACGCTAAGTATTATTGCTTTCTATTTGCAGGAGGTGCAGACACAACTTTTATCTGTGTCTGTGCTTCCATCTATAAACTGAGAATATGAATAACATAGAGCTAAGTTCATTAGTTCTATCCAGGCTGTTGGAGATTAATGGCCAAAGAGACAAGTTCTCACCTCTTCATTTGTCAGGGTCTTACCATGATGGGTCTGTGTCCCAAATGGTCTGCGAGTGAGACCTCGATCTCAGCTTTGGAAACAGACATTTGTTCCTTGGCTGAGGTTTCTTTTGCCATTCAAAAAATGATGAAAATAAACACTATGAGATGAGCCACATTCAATCTTCTTGTGCAAAGACTATAACTGGCCTTAAAATGAGACAGCCAAGGCTAACAATCCAACCACCTAAGTCTATACAATTTATGGATGAATTACTGGGAGATGTTAACAAATACCAGTCCTTCATAACAAGCCCCTTTAAATAGCCATTATCATGGTATAAAATTATGGAGTAGAAACCAATAATTTTAAAAATCAAAATAATATTGGCTAGGATAAGAGGGAAGGGCCATTTTAATGTCTTCTGGAGATCTGTAAAAACAGATATTTTATATTCACTCAATGAATGCCTCTTGTTTGCTTTTCCTGCCAGTTACTAGTATAAAATTAAAAATCAAAAGGCTAAGTTGTAGGTTAATTAATCCCCAGAAATTAAATCTTGTGCTCAGGCAGTTACAAAGTTTGCAAATCATAAAAAAAAATAATACATTTTTCAAGCAAAAGTGTAGCAACGCTTCCTAAAAATCTGCACTAGGGGTGGTCAAAACTACTCAGGGCAGAAGATGGAAATGAGCTGTGCTGCAGAGACCCGCAGCTGATGAGAGCTGAGCTCATTAAAGACCCTGCGGAGGACAGCCAGCATGGGGTGAGATGGTGGAAAACTCACCCAAAAAAACTTTGATAAGAGCTTATAAAGATGCAAATGCTCCCTACTTTCCCCAGAGAACCACGGCGTTCCATTTATATGTGTCTTATCAGCCACTGCCCTGTGACAGAGAGTTCAGCGTCAGCCTGTAAAAGTGTCTGCAAATACACTGGGATTAAAAAAAAATGTTAAGAAAGCAGAGCAGTTATTGGGCAAGTATGTAATATTTTGGGGTCAGTATTGCTTCCTGACATGATTTCTTATAGAAAGGGTTGTGTAAGACCCCTGCCTGTGTCTGTCTGTCTGTCCTTCCCTTCTGCCTTCCAACTCCTGTGCTAAATTTCACTCAAGGCTGAGAGCAAAGTGCTCCCAGAGACAGTCTCTTCCTAGGAAGATTATGGAATATTTTAGGGAAATAAAGAGCTATTGCGGACAGTGCACGTATATTTGTGCTTTTATTATACTGGAAAACTTGCAAAATGGGGAAATTCCAACCAAGGAGGGGAAACCCTGGTGTCTATTATGAAAGAAAATCTGATTTAACCTCTTCTGTTCATGTAAAGCATTCATAACATCTCTTCTGCTGGGTCAGTCTTCCAAGGGCTAATATGGGACTTAGAAGAGAAGGACTAACACTGCCTGAATAATCTGCCCCTCATGAAGGAAGAGGAAGATAATTTCCCTCAGCTCCACGGCTCAAAAAACTGTTTGGGATGTGTTTTAGATCTATTCAGCTTGTGGACACGCACGGTTCCTCCTGCAGGGATTTGTAAACATTCCATTCTGCCAACAGGCGAAATAAAGTGATGCCAGCAGGTTTATTTTGCAGAATGAGAGGCCTGTGCAGACACAGAGTCCAGATCTTCTCTCTGTAGAATATGATCTACATTGCTTTTTGTTCATTATTCTTCATTCAGCCGAGTGAGGTAACAACACTGATGAGATAGAATCATATGAAGAGAACCGGAGAGTCTGTCTGTAACAGGAGATACAAAAACCACCAAGAAGCAAAAGATGTCTTTCTGCCACCATTACAGGCCTGCGATTTGAGATGAAACAACTCCAAAACGTAAACAATTGAAGCAGATCCTACTGCTCCTGAAGCAGCAGGAGGACAGAGGGGCTTCTCTGCTCCCACCAGGAAAATCCATCTGATCCCAACACCTGCACTGCTACGTAAAAGTCATTGTACACAGAATCAGGGTCATAGAATGGTTTGGGTTGAAAGGGACCTTCAAGACCATCCAGTTCCAACCCCCTGCCCTGGGCAGGAACACCTCCCACCAGCCCCATCCAGCCTGGCCTTCAACACCTCCAGGGATGGGGCAGGGTTGCAAGGTAAGAAGAGACCAAAGAGCCGTAAATCTGTGAGTGTTAAGGAGAAAAAGAAAAGTCTTAGAAAAAAAAAGCATCTTCATTGGAAAAGAAGGAGGCACAAGCAAGACCAGAAACCTCCTGGGGTAGGTTGCAAAGGTCCCAGGTGAGAGTGGCTTTTAAGTTTTCTCCGTGGCAGGCAGCAAGGCAGAAGGTCAGACCAAATCTGGTTCCAGGGATGAGAAGAGAGCGGCGCAGAGTGATGTGCAGAAGCTCTGCAGCGTTCACCTGCCTCCCTTTGCCTTAACTTCTTCCATATCACCTTGTCACAGGGTGTTATGGTTTGAGAAACCCACAACAATGTATTGTTGTTTACACACCAATTCTCTCACCCGATGACCCCTCCCCACGCGGAAAGGGGAATCGGGGAAAACAGGGAAGCATGAGGGTTGAAATATAAATACATTTAACAGGATAAGACTACATCAATAATACTAAAAAACCAATATTGATCCCTATACCAATACAACATCCACGAGGACTGTCCCCAGCCCATTCTCTCTCCCAGCAGGGACAGGCAATGTGGGACCCTGCGAGCGCTGCAGCTTCAGGAGGAAGGGAAGGGCTCAGGGCTCTGGCACAGGGTGAGAAGTTCTCAGGATGGCAGCCATCAAGGGAGAGAGAGAGAGAAAGCACTACACAGCAAACTTTCTAATTTCTATTGGATGTGACATTCATGGTGTGAAATAGCATGGTATGAGCAGGTTCAAGCTGGAGGCTGTAACCAGTGGTGTCCCCCAGGGGTCAAGACTTGGTCCAGTGCTGTTCAACATCTTCATCAGTGACCTGGATGAGGGGACAGAGCGTATCCTCAGCAAGTTGGCCGATGATACCAAACTGGGAGGGGTGGCTGACAGCCCGGAGGGCTGTGCTGTCATCCAGCGAGACTTGGACAGGCTGGAGAGCTGGGCAAGGAAGAACCTCATGAGG